TGCATGCTTTCAAGAACAGTTATCGGGCATTAGTGCATGCTAGCACTAACGTCACCAAAACATCAGGGCGTGTCACCTTTGACAGGTGTGTTGTAGGTTCGCCAGCCTTGTCCTAAACCTTGGACTAGAGTGGGTGACAGGCCCCTGGTGATCATGTGGTTGTTTCTCCAGACGCTCTTTTTGTACTACTGCATTTTGTTTAAATTTGTCTTGATTTTGTATATATGTACACCACCAAAAGTTCATAATTGATCTTGGGCGGCTTATTAATTTAATTTTTTTTTTTAAAAGATGGGTTAAGGACTTTAAGCTACCTGAATATGAAGTGGTTTGGCTAACACCCCATCTTCAATTACACAGATTTCACTCTCCTGGCTCTCTCAAAATCAACCTAAATTCAAGGTGCACTCCTAGGACCTGGGAGAAGACCACATCCTTACCTAACTGTTAATGGTGCAACGGGTGGCTATCACGGACAGAATCCCCTCCTCCGAAGGGCTTTCTTTGGAGAGACCCCTTAGCATCCTCAGTGAATGCACTTAGAGGCCAGGCTTCCTTTTCTGGTAGGCATTTCATTTTTAATATTTTCACTTTTATGTACATATTTGTGACGTATAAAAGGGCCCCGTTTCTCACGAGCAGCTGAGCCAAATGCCATCGCCCTTGTGAATTTCAGCAGTTGGAAGAAGGAAAGAGGTTTTGCAGGGATCTCCTCCATATATAAAGAGGGAAACATGTCGGGAGGGCTTTTGTATCTATGCCACAGTGACATAAAGTATTATGCTATGTTTATTTCATTCATTTATTTGTCAATTTTAAAGGTTTGCAGAATAGCCAAATAGTTTCACATTCTCTTTCTCTTTTATTCTCGACAGCAAGGCATTGAAAGAAGGCTATGTAGAGAAGACACCCCACCCCCGAGAAAGACATCAGTTCATTAAAAGGACAAGCTCCCCCAACGGAATACAGTGCAACTTGAACCTAGAAAACATTATTGATTTTATGGTTCTTAAGGTTTACAGGGGTGGGGGGGTAACATTTTCTCAATCTCATCATTTGGAGCAGAAGTGAAGAATCTTAGAATCTTCCAGATGTTGTTGATACTCAGTTCCCAAACAATGCCAGTTACCATGTCAGGGTTTCAAGAAATGGGATTTTTTTTAAATCAACAGCAGTTTGGAAGACCACAAGCTCCCGATTCATCAGTAAAAAGGCCATCCAAGTAGAAAGAGAAAAATGGCAGAAAAGAAAAATGCAGCTACTGATGTGGTAGCAAGACTCCCCCTGAACGCAGATAGTAGTGGGCTGTGTGCCTCCGTGAGTAATCAGAGAGGTGATTCTGCAAATAAGATCATTTCATTAATAATGTCAGCAAAAGAAGCACTTTGTATCTCAACTTTCTTTTTTTTTTTTTAACAGGCTAAAAATTAAAAGTAGCATAAACCATGCCTTTGGGGACAAAAGTTGTCTCCTCAGCAGCCAATAGGGTCACACACTACCATGTTTCCCCAAAAATAAGATAGGGTCTTATTTTCTTTTGACCCCCAAAATAAGACTATTGGTTTTATTATTTTTGAGGTACAGGAGGCGGCGAGCGTGGTCACCTCATGGCTGCGGCTGTGTTGCGATATTTTTGGGGAGGAGTTATTTTGGGAAGAGGGTTTATTTTAGCGCATGCGCTCAAAAGCCCATTTGGGCTTATCCAGGGAGATCTTATTTTAGGGAAAACAGGGTAATAAGTAGAATCTATTTAAACTTTTACCCAATTTCTCTATAAACATCTGCCCAGAAAGAGGTCTTACTCTTGACATCGTAATCATCAGGTTCAAGCAATAAAATAAAATCAGGCTGCTTCCTCCTTCCTTCACCTGCAAGTTCAAAAATGCCATAAAACAGCAGTGCATGAATCTTTATCTGGGATACCTTCTTACTTTTTTAAAAAAAATACATGTAGTCCTTGAGATATGACAGGTCACTTAATAAGAGTTCAAAATTACGATAGCTGCCCCCCACATTGCATACAGGTAGTCCTCAACTTACAACAGTTCATTTAGTGACTGTTCAAAGTTACAACGGCACTGGAAGAAATGAACTTATGACCATTTTTCACATGACCATGGCAGCAGCCCCATGTTCACATGGTTTACATTCAGATGCTTAACAGGTGGTTCATATTTATGACGGTCGCAGTGTCCCAAGGTCATTTGATTACCTTTTGCAACTTTCTGATGGAACAACGGCAACGGTTCACTTAACGTGGCAAGAAAAGTCATAAAATGGCATTCACTTAATAAATTTCTCACTTAGCAACGTAAATGTTGGGCTCAAAATGTCGTAAGTCGAGGGCTACCTGTACAACTCTGTTTCAAAGTTAAAACTGCTACAGCATCTGCCCCATGGTCATTGCCCTTACGGCCCCCCCATGCTATCCCGCCCAGGCCCAGCACTGCCTGGGCCGGTTCCCCATACTTCTTGGAAGCAGCGGTCATTTTCAGTGGGAAATGATAACGCTTTTCAGGGCTTTTTGGCTCCGATCAATTGGCCGTGGGGAGATTACACACTTTCCCCTGCTTCTTGCTAAGTTTTGGGAAGCCAGATCCTGCATGCAAAGGCAGCAGCTTCAGGATAATCTTTCCAAAACCTTACCCTTGCCTTAACCCCTCCCTCCCTCCCCCAGAAAGCCATATTTCTTCAATAAATCAAAGCGGGGAGGGACGCACCTGTTGATCTTTCTCCCCCACCCCAATTCTTCCCCTCTGCCCTGCAACCTTTTATCACTCAAAATCCTTGCCTTGAAGAGGGAAGGGAAGCGAGCGAGCGAAGAAAATCTTTCTGCAGTTTTTTGCCTTGAGGTGCTGAGCCAAAGCCAAAGCGGCTAAAGCAGAAATGTGCAGCAAACAGCCATGGCAAGAGCTGGGTCCGAAAAAGAGACCCAGAACAGGCAAGGACAGGTAGTCCTCTATTTACAACAGTTCACTTAGTGACCATTCAAATTTACAATGGCACTTTAAAAAAATGGCATGACCATTTTTCACAATTACGACCTTTGTAGCACCCGCATGATCACTGGTCAAAATTAACAAGAGTTGGAAGGGACCTTATAGGTCATCTAGTCCAGTGTTTCTCAACCTTGGTCACTTGAAGATGTCTGGACTTCAACTCCCAGAATTCCCCAGCCAGCGAATGCTGGCTGGGGAATTCTGGGAGTTNAAGAATTAAATGTGGCCTTCAGATTTAAAAACAGGTAAGGGATGGGTGCAGTGGTGGGATTCAATTTTTTTTTACTACTGGTTCTGTGGGTGTGGCAGGGGAAGGATACTGTAAAATCTCCATTCCCTCCCCACTCCAGGGGAAGGTTACTGCAAAATCCCCATTTTCTCCCAATCAGCTGGGACTTGGGAGGCAGAGAATAGATGGGGGTGGAGTCAGTCAGAGGTGGTATTTACCGGTTCTCCGAACTACTCAAAATCTCCATTATCGGTTCTCCAGAACTGGTTAGAACCTGCTGAATACCACCTCTGATAGCTATGTTTGGTATCTTTGGAACATGGAATTTTTAACCTTTCAGAGAACAGAGGAAAAAATAGAGCCTTTTTTCCCTACATTATAGAATCATTTCCTGTTCTTACATTTTTATTGCATAAATATTTGTATTTTCTAGATAATTACTGTCACTTAAGGAAAATTGCTTTTGTTCTCTAGAACCTTGGGTCTCTGAAGAATGCACCTTATCAGAACACACTCCATAAATCCTATTTAAATCATTGACACTCTATCCAATGATATTCTGTGTATGTTTATAATCCAATTTCTATGTTGAGATTTTTTATTTAAAATCAGAGACCAAAGAGACACATAAAAATATGACCAAAAGACTAAATACAATTCCAGTGCTTCCTATTGATGATCACTGGATGGATCTAATTAAACATGCATATCTCTTCTGCAGGTCATCCTAAGCACTTAGGAAGTATTATTAACTCTGAGGGCTATTTGTTTCAATGTTGGGAGTGTACTGCTCGCTTCCCCACAACAAAAGTGCATGTTTTTAACACAGACCTTGGGAATTAGAATGCAAGGAACATTGTCCTGTCAGACCATTGCATTTTCATTTACAACTGATTAGAACCTTTTGAACGCAGCAGTCTGATATCTCTTGCTAAAGATCCAGGAACAAATGCAAAAAGAGGAAAACAGTCCAAAGTGACATCCTTTGTTGAAGCATTCTTCAACAAGGTCCTAAAGTTACTTCCTACCTTCCCTAAGTGAAGCAAATACTTCAGATTGAAATTCTGAATTGACTAATAGTCTGGCTTGGTAAAAACAGTTTCCAAAGGTTCCTAGGTTCAATCTCTATGAGGTGGGTTCCCAAACCCCATGTCACAATGGACTGGTACCGGTCTGTGGCCTGTTAGGAACCAGGCCGCACAGCTGGAAGTGAGCAGCAGATGAGTTCGCAAAACTGAAACCATCCCTCACTCCCTGAAAAAATTGTTTCCCACAAAACTGGTCCTAGCGTCAAAAGCGATGGGGATTGTTGCTCTAAGACCAGGTAAAACAAACAGTTAGTATGCAAAGTGGAAAATCTTAAGGTTTTGGAAAGATGTTGCCAGTCAGTCTTCATGACATTAAGCTAAATGGACAAAACAATCAGGCATTGAGTTGTTACCTGGACAGTTCTAAATTTAGATTTAAATTCATATTTAAAGGCTCCCTCGTAACTTCTTTCTTCAAGTGGACTAATTGTGGAAAGAGTTTGCCTGGCCAGTATCCCTGTCATTGACATTTAAGGAAAAATGACAATAATCTTTTGAGATCCATAGAGTGTCTTTTTCTACTTCCTCTTCACTTCTGACCATAATATTAAGATAGGATATTTGAAATTATATGATTTCTATATCAGTTATTTCCAAAACACACAGGTGTACATTAGTTTTGGCATATTGCAAAACACATAAAATTATGTGTTTGTAATTATATGTGATTTTTTTAAAAAACAGAGTTGGACAGATTATCAGCATTACAGCAAAGGTAAACAGGGCATTTACTACCAGTATGGAGGTAAGAGATTGTATTTATTTAAATTGAAATACTATATTTTATTATATTTATGCAGAATGAAGCAAGTAAAGAAATGAATTCATGCAAATTCCATCACAGATGGTTTTTTTCCCCATTCATTTCCATACTCTTAATAGCTTTATTTTCCAAATTTGGCATTATGTTAGATATCTAAAATATTTGAACAAATATTTTTTTTCAAAGTTGAAAGAGTTGAACATAGAAACTGAAGTTAGTCTACAAGTGACTCTGTGCCAGTCATTCTAAGCCCTATGTCCTATAACGACTTGTTTGTGCAGTTAAAATTAAGAGGCTACAGCAGTAAACCTCTAATAAAAGATGTGATAAAGATTAAATAAACAAATTGAATTACTGTAATAAATATAAATATATAGATATCATCAACTGAACATGGCCAGTTCACTATGGGAACTATGGGTGCCCAGGCGAGCGACAAGCAAGCAAGGAGAGCCGGGTGGATGGGCAGGCGAGTGAGCAAGCGAGCAGGTGGACAGGGTGGACAGTGGCGGCAGTAGCTGGGGGCTTTCCTTTTTCACATCCCTGTCACAGCCACAATACTGAGCTCTGGCCCATTCAGAGTTCCAACCGGCAGCACCAGTGGGTGAGAAGGAGGTGGCAGCCGAGGGCTTTCCATGGGGGACATAAAATCATTATCAGGTGTCCGGATTGGGATGGGGATCCTAATAGTGCCACATAGTCGCTTGGGGTTATGGTGTATACATGAAAAAGGTAGAGATTCTTATTTTCATTAAGATGAAAAGAATAGTTGTTACTAATGCACTTGTTCACAGTTATGTAATTGCCTAGAATTCAACAATAGCTTTATTATCTGCATATAGGTTGGTGTCAGAGTTACATTACAGGACCCCTTAACTAAGGTTCAAAAACGAATTTGTGTGGCTTTCTCTACATACGTTACAAGGCCAGTAGGAAAAGAGAAGGTAAACATTTCATTGAAAAATTCTAATGTTTCTGTTCTCAAACTTGGTGAACTTGCCAAACAGCCATTGCTATTTACTGTTTCCTTTTTTTTTGTATTGACAATAAAAGAATGAAAAATATTACATTTTATTTCTGACTAATAACTTCATTGTACTTTTCTAAAAAATTTTTTTGCTCCTTGTATTACTTTTGGCAATTCCTTTTTTTGAAATAATGTATTTTTATAATTCACTATTATCAAACATTCATTTTGCTTGCAGATATTATTAGCATTGTTCCTAAACTGCCATATTTAAATTTTTATTTGAAAAAAGCAGCCCATATTCAGATATACCATTGCCAATGATCTTGGTAATCTAGAATATTTAGGACAATATACAATTAACAATATGTGCTGCTAGGATAGCTTTTGTTTAAAAAAATGGAAAAGCAATTACCGTACATTTTCTTGTCTACCTGGATATCTCTAAAAATCTGCAGCATTGCACTACAGCACTGAAAAAACACCTGGAGCAAATCTGGGGAGGCAATGAATGAATGCAAGGTCTGTTCACATATCCATAGTTCCATTTATTGCAAGGATATAGTTAGAGGGATCACCTGTACACTAAAGCTGATGAGGATCATTGAAATCTAACTACAATAATTGATTAACTATTTAAGGACATTGCAGTAGTTGTTGTTAGTTGCAAAGTCATCTCCGACCCATCGCGACCTCATGAACAACGTTCCTCCAGGCCTTCCTGTCCCCCTCTTTTGGTACTGTCAATGGGGTTTTCATGGCAAAGATATTGGAGGGGGTTGCCATTTCCTTCTCCAGTGGATCACATTTTGTCAGAGCTCTCTGCTATAACCTGTCTGTCTTGGGTGGCTCTGCACGGCATAGCTCATAGCTTCATTGAGCAAGGACATTGTAGACTGGGCTGCAAACAGAGCTGTAGAGTTTAAAGATGTAGAATGATGCCTTACATCTTGCATTTCTATTTTTTTTCCTAAAAGCTAATTTCACATGATTTTTATTTTCATGTTTATAATATTGTATAAATTATTAGAAATTGTTTATTAAATGATTAGGCTTTAGATTAGTAAATATTTTAGGTTAGTATTAAGCTTACTACAGATGTGGCAGAAATATTGTTTTACTGTTAATGGGGTCATGATATAATTTTACTATGACTTGCTTATACTGTTTTTTTTTCTTTCTTTAATATTTAGATTAACCTAAAGCCAGTCAAGCTTCTCACTGTGCAAGATTTCATAGAGCATGCCCTGGCTGCTGAGCGAAGAAAAATTCGACTGGATCATGACCGTGTAGTTAATGATCTAATGGATAAATGTGGCATGGATGATGGTCAGTAAAACAACGTTATGTTGCTCATTTCGAATTCGCTGAAACGAGGGGGGGGGATTCCAACAGTTACTTGGCTTCATTGTTTGAATGAAAAAGGCCTGGGAACTCACAGCATTGTGTAATGTATCATTTATGAAAAATATAAAATATGAAAAAATATAAAGGAAAGCCACGTGCCCTTCTGTGAAGTGATATTCCTGCTTTAGATCTCCCAAAACTAAGAGCAATATAAACAAGCTTGCCATTAGCTTATTGCTAGTAGTTCAGAAAATGTCTGATAATACCATAATAAATGTTACTAATGAACATGGGTGTCCGCAACTTCTCTTCATATTATTGGCATTTTTCTTCTTTTAATGCCATCTCCACTGTTTAAAATTTTCACACACATTTATACACATCACAACCACATGCCGCTTCCCTTTTGAACTTATGTAATTAAACAATGCCGCTGCATATTGTTTCGTTTCTATACTCTGACATCAACATGTTTCTGAGCTCATAATTAATGCATGCATTGAAACAGAATCAAGGCAAATGATAGAACCCATTCTTTCAACTTATACAATCACCTCATCCACCCCACCTGCATACACCCTTTGTTTATGAAAGGCATATCACTAGAAAGCAGCTTATGCATTTTCAGGTCTTCACTTTTAAGAGAATATTATTGAAACAAGCATTGGGCCCATATCTAAAAGTAGATAAAGTGAGGATGAATTTATCAAATGCTAAGACTGCTTTGCTGAAAATGAGTACAGAGTTCACTAAAAAAGAAGCAAGGCTCAATTATATTGTTGAAATTGCTAATTTAACAGGCTGATAAGTAGGTCCAAAATGCAAGGCAGTCAGGTGGATCCAACTACAACTCTGGGATTATAAAACTAATGAAACTGGGGCAGAAGCCAAAGGCTTAATTTAGGTCAAGTGGAATCATGTGACAGATTAGCCTGGCTGGCATTTAAAACAAAAGCATATACTTTTAGTAGGAATATGTTCCTTCCTGATAATAGAAAGATACCGTATTTCCTTTCCTATTTTCTCTCTATAATGCATTTAAATACCATTATAATTCTAAGTGCTCTACATGGGGCTGCCCTTGAGGAGTATCTGGCGACTTCAGCTAGTCCAGAACGTGGCCGCGCGAGNAGGAGGAATTTTCTGACTGTGAGAACCATCAACCAAAGGAACAGAAGTTGCCTTCGGAAGTTGTGGGAGCTTCATCCCTGGAGGCTTTCAAGTAGAGACTGGACTGCCATCTGTCAGAAATGGTGTTGGGTCTCCTGCTTGGGCAGGGGGTTGAACTAGATGACCTCCAAGGTCCCTTCCAACTCTATTCATCTACATTCAATGGAACAGAAGTTGCTTTGAAAGTTGTGGGAGCTTCATCCCTGGAGGCTTTCAAGTAGAGACTGGACTGTCATCCGTCAGAAATGGTGTAGGGTCTCCTGCTTGGGCGGGTGGTTGGACTAGATGACCTCCAAGGTCCCTTCCAACTCTGTTAATCTGTCAGTCTTTAAATCGGGCAGATTTTCTTATTTGATGGTGTTAAAATTATTATGGCATCTCGCCCAGTCAGCCAGTTGTGATTAGGCGTTTATATTATTAAAAGTAGACCTCGACCTAGGACCACAATTGAGCCCAAACTAACTGTGGCTAAGCGAGACTGTTGTTGAGTAAGCTTTGCTCTGTTTTACGACTTTCCTTGCTGCGGTTGTTAAGTGAATTCCCTGCCATTCTTAACAGAGTAGTAACACAGTTGTTAAGTGAATCTGGACTCCCCAATAACTTTGTTTATCTGGAGGTTGCAAAACCAGCACGAGAATTTTGATCATATGGCTGCAACGGTCGTAAGTGCCAAAAAAACAGTCGTAAGTCACATTTTCAGTGCCGTTGTCACGGTCACCGCACTAACAACTGCAGTGATTCACTTAACAACTGCCCCCAAGAAAGGTCGTAAAGCAGGGCAAACCTCACTTAACAACTCTCTGCTGTGATCGTAAGGTGACAGCTATCTGTAGAGAATACAGAATAACAGAGTTGGAGGCGACCTCAAAGATTAACAGATGAACAGAACATTCCAGACAGATGGTTGTTTAATCTCTTCTTAAAAACCTCTGGTGATAAGGAAGGGAGGGAGGGAGGGAGGGAGGGAAGGAAGGAAGGAAGGAAGGAAGGAAGGAAGGAAGGAAAACTGAGTTGGAAGGGACCTTGGAGGTCTTCTAGTCCAACCCCTTGCTGAAGCAGGAGACCCTATACCATTTCAGCCAAGTGGCTGCCCAATCTTTTCTTGAAAATCTCCAGTGATGGAGAAGGAATAGCAATAGCAATAGCAGTTAGACTTATATACCGCTTCAT